GCCTCTTCCAACATTTGAAGGAGCAAGTGCGGTGGTTTATTCTTTCTACCCTTTTCGAGTCTGAGTCTGCCCACACCATATCATCTGCCCAGGTGGTTTTTTCAGAGCACTTGCTGCTAGTGCATTTGTTGGGTGTGGCCCCTCTCTGGTTGTCCTGTGCCTCTGTGTTGGTGTGTTGTGTGAATGTTCTATGGACAGCTGGAGGATTAATCCCAACAATTGAAGGCGCAAGCGTGTGATGGTTTTTTCTATATCCCCTTTTTCAGTCTGCCGAGATTGCACCATCAGCACAGGTCGATAGAATCGCTGGTGCAATCGTTGGGTGCAGTTCTCTTTTTGCTGCTGTTTTGTTGGTGCGACTGTAATGTTTTGTGGATAGCAGAAGGTTCAACCTGACAATTGGAGGAGCAAGCGAGCATGCGTCTGTCTGTACTTTCTTTCTCCAATCTGCCCACACATTGGTCCAGGTGAAAAGTGCATTGCACACGTTCTGGTGCATTCTTTGGACGTGGCTCTCTGTCTCCTGTGCCGCTGTGTTGGTGGTCCTGTGTTGTTGGTGAGAGTGCCTTATGGACAGCTGGAGAATCAACCCTGACAACTGGAGTTGCAAGCAAGTATGTGTGCCTGTTCATATATCCCCTTACCAATCTGCGCACACACAGTTGTCCAGGTGAAAGTGCATTGCACACGTTTTTGGTGAACTCGCTAGTTCTGGCTCTCTGTTTCTGTGTCGTTGTGTTTGTGGGATGTGGTGCTTTACGCTCTGTGGACAGTGGGAGGTCGAACCGTGACAATTTGAGAAGCAAGCAAGCGTGCGTTCACCGCTATATCTTCCCTTTTTATATATTCTCTCCACTCTAGCCAGGCCAGGTGAATGTGCATAGCACACGTTGCTGGTTCTGGCTCTCTATTTCTGTGCCGCTGTCTTGCTGGGATGTGTTGGTTTGAACGTGCTGTGAACAGCTTTAGGATCAAGCCTTGCAAAAGGAGGAGCAGGCATGTGTACCCTTCTCTTCTTTTGCCTCTCGTGCCTCTCTCGTGTGCTGCTGTGTCCCTGTGATGGTGGGATGTGGTGTTTTGAACGTGCTGTGAACAGCTTTAGGATCAAGCCTTACAAGTGGAGGAGCAAGCATGTGTGCCCTTCTGATCTATATCATCCCCTTTAAATTTGCTCACACTATCGGTTCAGGTAGATGTGCAGAGCTTACGTTGCTGCTGTTGCTTCCGTTTGTTGTAGTTCCTCTCTGGTTGCCTGTGCTGCTGTCTTGGTGGGATGTGGCAGAATGAACGCGCTGTGGACAGCTGGAGGTTCGAAACTTACAAGTGGAGGAGCAAGCATGTGTGTCACTCCATTCTATAACCTCCCTTTCCAATCTTTTCACTCTACGACCGGTCCAGGTAGACGTGCAGAGCATATGTTGCTGTTGCTTCTGTGGGTTTTTTTCCTCTCTAGTTTTCTGTGCTGCAGTGTTGGCGTGGTTTGCTGGTGTGAAGTTGTATGGACAGCTGGAGGAGCAAGTGGTGGTTTTCTCCTTTACTCCTTCCCATCCTCTTCCGTGTTTTCTATCAGCAAGGTAGATGTGCTCTCCTCATCAGGCCAAAGAGCTTGCATTGCTGGAGTGTTTTTTGTTCCTCTTCTGCTCTTTGGTCTTGTGTCTCTGTGCCACTGTGTCAGTGGGTTGTCTGTTGAAGCAGAATAACTGCAAGCCATGCTCGCCGGGTTCCGAGCCAAGTCGGACTCGAATAGGGCGTGACACATTTGCTCCACTGTTTGTCCAGGTAGTCAAAGTACAATGCATTTGCCTCTCTTGCAGGCTTGGCGCTCTTGCCTCTGTTGCCACTCTGTCCCAGTGTGGTGTGCCCGTCCGTGTGATGCTGGGATGTGTCTAGCAGGACAACTGCAATTTGTCACGCTCATCATCTGCGCAGCGCAGGTAGCACCTTCTGGGGTATACTCTTTGCTCGTGCATTTTTGGTTCTTCTCCCCTCGTCTTTGCTCTGCCCTCTTTCTTCTGTGCTGCTGTGTCCGTGTGATGGTGGGATGTGTCAGGCAGGACAGCTGCAAACCATGCCCTGATTGAAGTGAGAAGTGTTTTGCGATCACTGTCACCTTCCGCCCTGGTACTGCCAGCTGGGTTGTTCCTTCTGCTGTTGCCGTCTTCGGCTCTTTCGCCTCTCGTTGTGTCTCGTTGTGCTGTGTCCCTGTGATGGTGGGGTGTGTGTCAGACATGACAGCTGAAACTCTGATCTCTTACCATCATCCAGGCAGATGAAGGTGGGGTGTATCCTCTGCTCGTGCTGTCTTCTCTCTTGCCTCTTGTGCCTCTCTCGCGTGCTGCTGTGTCCCTGTGATGGTGGGATGTGTGTCATGCAGGACAGCTGCAACGTGTCAGCTCTTACCATCACCCAGGGAGTCCAGGTCGGGATGCACTTCCTCCTTGTGCAGTCTTGGCCCTCTTGCCTCTCTGTCCTGTGCTGCTGTGTCTGTGTGATGGTGGGATGTGTGTGACAGGCAGGACAGCTGCCATCCGTCAGCTCTTACCACCCGTCCAGGTAGTACCTGTGAACATGTAACCTCTGCGTGTGCAGTCATGCCTCTCTTTCCTCTCGATCTTCCTGCTGTTGTTTCTCGGTGATGGTGGGATGTGTGACAGGCAGGTTACTTGCAAACCGTCAGCTCTTACCATCCGTCCAGGTAGCTCCTGTGGCAATGTATCCTCTGCTTGTGCTCTCCTGCACTCCTGCCTCCCTGTTTTGGCCAGCTGTGACTGTGTGATGGTGTGGAGGGATGTGTGTCACTCAGGACAGATTCAACCTGTCATCTCTTACCACCATCCCTCCAGGTACTTCCAGTGGGGATGCATTTGCTGCTCGTGCAGTCTTGCCTCTCTTGCCTCTCTGTTCTGTGCTGCTGTATCCTTGGGATGTGTGCCAGGCAGGCCAGCTTCAATCTGTCATGTACCATCCCTCCAGGTACTGCGAATAGGGAGGATTCCTCTTTTTCTGTGCAGTCTTGCTTTCCTGCCTCTCTGTTTTGGCCAGCTGTGTCCCTGTGACCGTGGGATGTGTGTCACGCAGGGCAGCTTCAATCTGTCATGTACCATTCCTCCAGGTACTTCCAGTGGGGATGCATTTGCTGCTCGTGCTGTCGTTGTTCTGTCTAGTGCTGTTGTGTCTGTGTGCTGGTGGGATGTGTGTCATGTAGGGAAATTCGAGCCCAGGAGGAGTTCACGAAAGTGAAGTTCTGAGGCTGGGATGTGTTTTTACTTTCTCATGCTCTGCTCTGAGTCTGGTGTCTGCATCACCGTTTCTTTTCCGTGCACGCACTTGTTACTACCACAGGGTTGGCTCGTCTTTTCTGGTGTGTGCCTGGTTTCTTTGTGTCTTGGCAGATGCGCATGTGTCTTGCCAGAGGTGTGGTGGTGTTCTTCTAACCCTTCTTTCCGTATTCCAGTTTTCTGCCTGTTTTTACCCTATTTGTGCCAGATATGCATACGCATTTCTATACATCCATCCCTGCATGTGGACATTCATTCATGCATATACCATAAGTGTGCATGTATGTATGCATTCACCATTATACACCCACATCTTCATCATAATATATCATATGCATACAACGTATGGTATGTTACCATCTCCGGACGATGATGAGGCAACTGCCCTTGGATTACCCGCTTAATTAGTGGGATATGGCTGAGTATACCCTCCTAGGTATGCGCAGCATGCCATTCTGTTGTCACCCTCTGGCTGGGGCTTTGGTCCCTTCCTAAGGGTATGATATGGCATTCCAAGGCAGCAACCTGAGTCCATCAAATTTGTTAATTCTGTGTCCAAGCGGATGTATTCTCATGTGATTTATATTGAGATGAGCACTGCTCTCATGGCCCTTGAGGTTTTCTGTCTTCCCTGAATGTTGTATGGGTGGTTGAGCACTTATGAACGTGGTTATCTGTATTTCTGGTTTTACTGTAATACCCCGGATATAAGACCCGGGGGTATTATAAGAATCCCACCCCAAAAATGAGGGGGGGTCTTAAAGCTCGCGTCTCAAATTTCACCCTTCCGACCAAGTGTTAAACGCTTGGGATCCGGTAACAGCTGGGTTTGTCGCAAAGCACACCAAGGCAAGGGGTGGTTTGGGAAGGTTGGTTGGGAGAGGTTTGAAACAGGGCCTCGTTCCAGGCAAAACCAACTCCAAAGGGAAACAACGTGTTGCAAAGTTGGTTGGGACAGGAATACGACAACGCAGGTTGGGAAACACACCTGCACGAACCAATCTACAGGTGTACAGAAAAACGTGCGACAACAGAGGCATCGTCGCACACTTCCCCGTGCAAACCAAGCATTTACAGCTCTCAGAATTATGAGACTCAGAACTCTCAACTTTGACAAAACGGTTCGTGTAGGCACCAGTTCAAGTGTTTTACCAGCCATATGCCACGTCTTTTAGTATAGCTAGCCTTGAAAACTCAGTCGCGATCATGATGTAGGGGAAACCGTGCGCCTATAGACCTTGGCGCATTCCGTGACCCGCATTCTCTAAGCCCGAACACGGGAAAATCATCAAATTTAGCGTGTCCAATCCCCACCTTCGTCCTCTCCTCGCCAAAAACTGCCGGCGTGGGGTTCATCGCCATTCATCAACCGCCCTTATTAGGTGAAAGGGGAAGGTCGCAGTAGCATGAAGGGTGGAAAGGACGATAGGGACGAGCCAAACGCGGCAATGGGGCGATATCACCGAAGTCGCGGGACTAAGGCCCGCCGAGTGACGCGGGAAAGGTGTGTACCCTGCCGGTGAGCGCGCGCACACCTCCCTTCAAGGGGCGCGCACCCAGCTGTAAGCAGCGCGCACACCGCAAGCAGCTGAGTGCGCCCCGCTGTAGGCATCACGCGCCACCTGAGCCTCAGCGCTCGCCCCGCTATAGGCATGAGGCGCCTCTTTAGCATCAGCGCGAATGCGCCTGTAATCTCACGCGCCATTCGTCACGTAATCGCGCATGGTGCGGGTATGTCAAGCACTACATGAGAGGGGGGAGGAGGAGAGGACAGAGGGGGGGAGAAGGTGCGCTGAGAGGGGGGAGGAGGAGAGGACAGAGGGGGGGAGAAGGTGCGCTGAGAGGGGGGGAGACCCGGTGCTACCCCTCCTATCCCCCCCTGCTTCTCCTCCTTTCCCCCCGGTGCTACCCCTCCTTCCCTGCTTCCCCCCATCCCCTTCCCTGCTTCCCCCCATCCCCTCCCCTTCTTCCCCCCATCCCCTTCCCAGCTTCCCCCCATCCCCTTCCCTGCTTCCCCCCATCCCCTTTCCTGCTTCCCCCCATCCCCTGGCACCCGCACTCTCACTCTCCTTTCCTCCCGCACTCTCTCTCTCCGTCCTCTCCCACTCGCACTCTCCTTCCCCCCACCCTCTGCCCAGTTGTCACCTGCCCTCCCAATGCCTGCCTTTCCCTCCCTGCCCTGCGCTTTCCTTCCCCATCCCTTCTCAACCCTTCCCTTCCTTTTCATGCCCTCCCCTTCCCCCTCACTCCTCACCTTCCACCCTCTAGTTCCCATGCACGTGCACCCATCACTGTCTCCCCATACATTATTTCATCATGTGCGCTTGCTTGTGTTCCCTTGCAGTTGTTCCCTTGGCACCTCACACCACCTCCCCCATGTTCATTCACACAATTCTTTCTGCCTACTCCACTCCCCTAATTTTCAGTGGTGAAGCAGAAGAGCAAGCTGAGGCGCAGCTAAAGCTAGTCCATGCTTTACACCGTACCACCACCTGTTTCTTGTGTGTTGTATGCAATCATGTTCTGCGGGGGGGAAGGAGGAGAGGACAGAGGGGGGAAGGAAGGGTGATATACCAGTTTGCGATAAATTCCCCTAATTTCCCCCCAATCCCCCCTCCGCTCCCTCTCATTCCCCCCTCTGCTCCCTGTCATTCCCCCCCCCCTGCTCCCTCTCATTCCCCCCTCTGCTCCCTCTCATTCCCCCCTCTGCTCCCTCTCATTCCCCCCTCTGCTCCCTATCATCCCCCCCCCCCCCCCCTGTTCCCTCTCATTCCCCCCTCCGCTCCCTCTCATTCCCCCCTCTGCTCCCTCTCATTCCCCCCTCTGCTCCCTATCATCCCCCCCCCCCTGTTCCCTCTCATTCCCCCCTCTGCTCCCTGTCATTCCCCCCCCCCTGTTCCCTCTCATTCCCCCCTCTGCTCCCTCTCATTCCCCCCTCTGCTCCCTATCATCCCCCCCCCCCTGTTCCCTCTCATTCCCCCCTCTGCTCCCTGTCATTCCCCCCCCCCTGTTCCCTCTCATTCCCCCCTCTGCTCCCTCTCATTCCCCCCTCTGCTCCCTCTCATTCCCCCCTCTGCTCCCTGTTATCCCCCCCTCCGCTCCCCATAAATTACAGCTCTGCTTTCCCATCAATTCCCCTACTGCACCAGGTCAATACAGAACCCCCTCTGCTATAAAATAATTTCCCCTTGTGCTCCCCATCAATTTACTCACTCCTTCCCCTCATTTCCCCCTTTCCCTCCCCTCCTTTTCAGCCTCCCTCTTCTCCAGCTGCTTCAGCCTTGACACTCAGGATTTTGTCAGAACTGGTCCGCCACGCATGAATTTTGTTAAGCTTTAGCTATTAAATAGTACCGGTTTGACAAGTACCCATGACATGTATCAATGTTGGATGCTTCTTTATAAAAATCACTTCAGTGTTTAGGATACTGAACTGAGCCATTCAGTTGATCACTACAAAGAAGTGCAACAAAGGTTTCCAGACAAGTCACCTTGCCTTCCAGACACAGCAGGTGCAGCAGAGGCAGCGAGGGAGGAGGGCAGGCCATAGCTGCCCTGGCGCCACCCACCCCCCACCTGCACCACACGCATCGCCTCATACCCCGCCACTGCCCACTCCCCCTGCACGCCCTGACTCGAACCAACTGCGCCCCCCACTGCCTTCTCGCCTCCACTGCCAGCATCTGCATCAGCAGGCTTTGTGTGTGGCGGCAGTGGCAGGAGGGCTGTTGCTTGTGTGCGACCAGGTGCGATGGCGGAGAGGGACGTCCACAAGCAGATGGACGAGAGGGCGTATGGCGGCGTGAAGGCGGGTGGGGGTGGTGAGGTGAGGGTGAAGGAGGGGGGAGTGGCTGGTAGCAGCGGCTGCAGATTCCACTGCACAAATGGGTTCAGAGCGGTGCAGTTGGTGTACGGCTCTCCTGAGGGAGAAGGATGGGGACAGGAGGGCAGGAAGAGGGATGAGATGAGAGGGGAAAGGGGAGACAAGATGAGCACTCAGAAATAGAGCACAGAATCAAGGCAGAGGGTAATCAAGTGGAGGCGAGGAGGCGGGCAGCGAGCAGCAGCGAGTGGCCCACAAGCGCTACTGAAGCATCCACCCTGCTTCATCCCCACCTCTCACCTTCCCCACTGCCCTGGGAGCGGCTCTATAACCCCCCCCTCCCGCCCCTTCCCACTGCTCAGCACCCTGTCCTCCTTGTGTTCTGCCACTAAGCAGTGGCAGCAGGCAATCATACATCATGGTGATAATCAAGCACAAGGAATTCACCCACTCAGCTCGCACCCACACCACCATCCTTCCAAAACCCATGCCCCCTCTCCCCTCCTTGGCCTGCCCGCCGCGCATGCTCCTCCCACACTATCTGAACCGCCTTGGGGTTGGCCCCCGCTGCTTCTACCTCTGCTGGCTCTATTCCCTGGTGTGCAAGTCATCTCACTGCCTCCCACTGCTGCTTGGTCACTGCATTGTGTAATGGAGTCCCTGGGGGAGGGCAGAGGGCGGAGGGCAGAGAGCGGGGGGCGGATGGTGGATGAGAGAAGGCGGAGGGATACAAAGAGGAGGAAAGCGGCTCTGGAAGCAGATGCAGAGCCAGAGCAATTCAAGCGGGGTGCAGAGGGCACCGCAGGGTAGAGCGCATGAAGGCAAGAGGGCTAAGAAGCTGGGTGGAGAAAGAAACGAGCGAAGCACTTTCTACCGTTCTTGCATTGAACCAATCATGGCACTCACAGCCGCAAGGCACTCACAGCCGCCAGGCACGCACAGCCGCCAGCAGGCACATGCAGTCCACGTGGCCGCCATACGCCGCCACGTGCAGTGGCGTGGTGGCGTTGCGCGTGCTGCACACCCCCGCTGGCATGCCCATGCGCAACAGCGCCTGCAGCTGCAGGCACATGCATGGGAGAACGGCGGGGAGGGAGAGAAGCGGGCAGCAGGGTGAGTGCGGTCCATGCCTGCGACATTATTGAAGGTGCATGTGAGTGCAGGCACGTGGACGGGGAGGGATGGGTGCACACGCGTGATGGACGGTGGGTTCAGAGAGTGTTGAGCGGGCTGCATGGCTGTGCTGCATGGGTGAGAGCTGGTGCATGGCTGTGCTGCATGGGTGAGAGCTGGTGCATGGCTGTGCTGCATGGGTGAGAGCTGGTGCATGGCTGTGCTGCATGGGTGAGAGCTGGTGCATGGCTGTGCTGCATGGGTGAGAGCTGGTGCATGGCTGTGCTGCATGGGTGAGAGCTGGTGCATGGCTGTGCTGCATGGGTGAGAGCTGGTGCATGGCTGTGCTGCATGGGTGAGAGCTGGTGCATGGCTGTGCTGCATGGGTGAGAGCTGGTGCATGGCTGTGCTGCATGGGTGAGAGCTGGTGCATGGCTGTGCTGCATGGGTGAGAGCTGGTGCATGGCTGTGCTGCATGGGTGAGAGCTGGTGCATGGCTGTGCTGCATGGGTGAGAGCTGGTGCATGGCTGTGCTGCATGGGTGAGAGCTGGTGCATGGCTGTGCTGCATGGGTGAGAGCTGGTGCATGGCTGTGCTGCATGGGTGAGAGCTGGTGCATGGCTGTGCTGCATGGGTGAGAGCTGGTGCATGGCTGTGCTGCATGGGTGAGAGCTGGTGCATGGCTGTGCTGCATGGGTGAGAGCTGGTGCATGGCTGTGCTGCATGGGTGAGAGCTGGTGCATGGCTGTGCTGCATGGGTGAGAGCTGGTGCATGGCTGTGCTGCATGGGTGAGAGCTGGTGCATGGCTGTGCTGCATGGGTGAGAGCTGGTGCATGGCTGTGCTGCATGGGTGAGAGCTGGTGCATGGCTGTGCTGCATGGGTGAGAGCTGGTGCATGGCTGTGCTGCATGGGTGAGAGCTGGTGCATGGCTGTGCTGCATGGGTGAGAGCTGGTGCATGGCTGTGCTGCATGGGTGAGAGCTGGTGCATGGCTGTGCTGCATGGGTGAGAGCTGGTGCATGGCTGTGCTGCATGGGTGAGAGCTGGTGCATGGCTGTGCTGCATGGGTGAGAGCTGGTGCATGGCTGTGCTGCATGGGTGAGAGCTGGTGCATGGCTGTGCTGCATGGGTGAGAGCTGGTGCATGGCTGTGCTGCATGGGTGCAGGCGGGGAGGCAGGTGAGACTGACCACGGGGGAGTCACCATTCCGAGCAGCCACATGCATGGCGGTCCAGCCCCACTTGTCCACCACGCCACTCAGCCCCTCTGCTGACTCCACCCCGCATGCCCGCACCACATGCCACAGCCCCTGCCCCTCCTCCTCCCCACCACCCTCACCACTAGTACATCCCCTCCCCCATGCACTCACCTCCCTGTCAAAAGGGACGACGTCTCTCTTCCCCCTCCTCGGGCAGCACCTGCTCTCCCCCTCCATTCCCCCTCCCCATCAACCCGCGCCTTATTCCGCCCACCCCTAATCTCCTTCCGCCCATCCCTGATCTCATTCCGCGCTTCCCTAATCTCATTCCGCCCTTCCATAATCTCATTCCATCATAACTACTCGCATTTCGCCCATCCGCAATCTCATTCCGCTCTTCATACTCTCATTCCGCCCTTCCTACTGTCATCCCTCCCTTCTTAATCTCGTTCCGCCCTTGTTCCTCTCATTCCGCCCTTCTTCCTCTCATACCGCCCTTTTTCCTCTCATTCCGCCTTTCTTCCTCTCATTCCGCCTTTCTTCCTCTCATTCCGCACTTCTTCCTCTTATTCCGCCCTTCTTCCTCATTCCGCCCTTCGTCCTCTCTTTCCGTCCTTTTTCCTCTCCATCCGCCGTTCTTCCTCGCATTCCGCCCCTCGTTCTCTCATCGCGCCCTTCATCCTCTCATTCCGCCCTTCTGCCTCTCAATCCGCCCTTCTTCATCTCACACCGCCCTTCCTACCTGTTTTCGACGTTCCAAATCGCATTACGCAAACCCTAAACTCATTCCGCACATCCCTACTCTCATTCCGCCCGTAGTAGTCGCAATCTGCCCTTCCTAATCTCAATCCGCGTTTTCCACTCTAAATCCGCCCATCCCGTCTCTCATTCCCGATCAAGGAAGATGCTCTCATACTAATCGTAAACGGGGGAAATAATGCTTAGCTGGCTTTCTATTTCGGTGTTACTACGGCTCAGCGACGGGAGTATGGTTGCTTGGCGTGGGCACTCATTTTCTGACTTCACACTTCTGTCAACCTCAAAACGTGATTGCGTCGCCAGGGTGGGTCGCATAGTTCTCAATCAGACGCAAACCTGTCCCCCAAGGCTCGTCTTACACCCAAACCTGCCCAACCAGGTTTGTTTTGGCCTTGATTGTTCGCTGTGTTCTTTTCACCCGCTCGTAAAAACTTTCGTCTTTCGTTACCCAATCACGGACGGGCAAACCCAACCAGGTGTTAAACCTTTGGAAATTTGAGACCCGAGCTTTAACAGTTGGCTACATTTTATAAGACCCGGGTCTTATCATAAGGTCATTTATACTAGTATTTTGGAAGTTATACATGTCAACACTATGTGCTTAGTTTGTAGCATAAGAAGGGAATACGCGCAATAAAATTTGTGTTTAGCATCCAAATTATTACACGAAATTGACATGATGATGAGTATATGTGCTTTTGTGACTGGTTTTACCCCTCGTTAATGAAAATTTTATAAAATTTGGTGTGGAAAGGGGCAGAAAAGCTATCAGAATTGCGTTCATTGCCAATAAAACGACCGATTCTCTAGGGGGAGGGGGGTCTTATAATGTTAGCCCCCATTTAGGGGGGTATAACAAAAACGACCTATTTAGCGTACCCCCCTCCGTATTATAGACCCGGGGGTCTACAACTGGAGGGGGTCTTATATCCAGGGTGTTACGGTATATATCGAGCCTTCGATTTACACCTGTGCTTTTGATAAAAGTCATCAAGTTCAGACTAGGCGCTGGCATATCTAGTTCTATGATGTTGAATAATGACACTACCGGTACTCCTTTTGATGGACTGGTGTTATCCTGTGTTAACATCTTGAACAACGCATGGTAGTGAAAGAGTTACGCCTGTGTAGTTTGTGCATTTTTATCACACCTCTTGGGGACTGTGCCGCTCCTGGTATGGTACATGTGTATGACATGCTAGATCAGCTGAAATACTCAACTCTAAACGTTTCTAAAATTTATCAAATAATCAATTGTGCATCAATTAGATGATGGATTTTTTTCTTTTTACTAATGAAGAGGATTGATTAGCATCAATTACCATCGTTACGTTTTTGTTTCCTGGTCAAACCTCTCGAGTGACTGCGATGATTAGAAAAACAGTTATGAGCTGCAACTTCACCAGACGAGGAAAAAAACCAGCGTTGAAAATAGATTTGCTACAATAATGATCAAAATGGAAGCAATATGCTATTACCCAGCCACCACGAGAAAGCTGGCCTTGCTACACAAACGCATATCTTCGTCTTACTTTCCGCAAGCATAATTTTGATGCATGATGAATTTGTCTTAGGTATAGATGCAGATGACGGGTTGACGAAAGTGGCGGGGTGATGTAGATGGGCAGTTGTTGCAGAAGGAAAGTTGATGCAGATGGAAGGTTGATGCAGATCACACACACATGCATGCACATATACGCACACATTCCCCCCACACATGGACACACCCACATGTCCAATCCCCATGAACCCATATATGCCCCCACACATGTCCACACATATGCACACCCCAAGACACAAAATCATACCACACATAGGTCCACAAACAATACACGCACACACCACACGCATCCACCATACTTCTCAGCCAGTCTTCTTTCTCTGCATGCCAACAAACAAAGAGAATGTGAGACACTGCTGCCACAGAAGAGAAGCAGAAAAACACAATCTTCAGAAACACCACTCACCACTTTCTCAACACAGGCTGAGGCATGATCCACAGTGCTTGCTCCAAGTGCCAGAACTGCTGCTATTAGTCCCCAACTCTTCCCCACTCCATCTGCTCCTCTCCTCTCCACCTCTCTTCTCTCCTCTACTTCCTCCTCTGCTGTCCTTCAACTAGCATCCTTCACTAACTACTAACCACGTACGCAACCTCCTAGCAATTATGCAGCAGCACCCACATTATCTATTAAACACACAGCAAAGCTCAAAGAAAGCATGGTTTTAGACAAGACATACTTCAGGAGAAAAGAAAAACCGCGGGCACGCACAAAAGAAATCAAACAAGAAGCGAAGTCCCTAAGAAGGGGATACTGGGTTGTGCAACAACAATTGATTGCTTATATCACACTCAAGGTGCTGCCTTGGTGACTTCTGAGTCAGGCTCAGATATCGCAAAGTTGGAGAATGTATGACATCGGTTGTATTGGACTCAGGGTGCTGCCTTGAGATGCCACGTCAGCCTGCTGGAAGAGAAACCAGGGCTGTAGGGACTACAAGCCAGGGCTCCTTCCTTCCAGAGGCGCTGTCAACAGAGTGGCGTTCTGTGCACCCATGTGCCCAGGGGAAATACCCTGAAGAGGGTACTCCCGACAATTACCCGCTGAAAAGCAGGTGAATTGCGCACATGGGTCACATCTCAAGAGCAGTACCTCATCATAGTCCAGAAAGGGGATAGGGAATGTATGGGAGGGATGTGTGGGAGGGATGTGTGGGAGGGAGGTGGAAGGGATACGTGGGACGGATACGTGGGAGGATATGTGGGAGGGATATGTGGGAGGATATGTGGGAGGGATACGTGGGAGGATATGTGGGAGGGATATGTGGGAGGGATGGGTGAGAAGACTAGGGACAGTAAATCGTAAGTAGGTATACGAAGGGCTTTTATTGTTGAAAGAGTTAGGGATAGGTAGGTAGGATGTTAGCTAGAATCGTAGAGAAAAATATTGAAGTATAGACGTATAGGTAGGATGTTAGCTATGCTCATAGAGAAAAACATTGATGTAAACAAGAACGTATCAGTGAAGGGAATAGGATAGGGGAAACGACTGGGGCGTAAGAGGCGGACATATGGTAAACTGCGGAATAAGAAGGAACATACAGGGTTGTCGAGGTTGCTATGTAGTGTACGAGGTTGTTATGTAGTGTATGAGGCATAGAAGGAGGAGGCGGAGGGAGGCTTTACTGTGTAGGCTTGTCGGCTGGTTGATCTTCATGCAGATGCTACCTTTCTTCAGATTCTTACTCTTTTCTCTCTCATCTGCCTTCCACTGCCACACTTCTCTCAAGACTCTCAACTAAGTGAGACTCCTAACTGCTTCAAACTAATTCAGCGTAAACCGCTTCTCACTCTCAAGTACCCATCACCACCGCTCAAGACTCAACCGCCCAGCACCTCACATCTCGAGTACAACAAATATCACCCTTTCGTGAGACTCTAAACTACGTCAGTCTAGCTCAGTGCCGACCACCTCTCCCTCTCAAGTGCCTACCACCACCTCTCAACCGCCCAGCACCTCACATCTCTCGTGTACGTCAGACTCTAAACGCCAAATGTCACCTCTCCGTGAGACTCTAAACTACGTCAGTCTAGCTCAATGCCATCCACCTCTCCCTCTCAAGAGTCCAGCACCTCTCAGTCCAGCACCTCTCAGTCCAGCACCTCACAGTCCAGCACCTCTCAGTCCAGCACCTCTCAGTCCAGCACCTCAGTCCAGCACCTCTCAGTCCAGCACCTCTCAGTCCAGCACCTCTCAGTCCAGCACCTCTCAGTCCAGCACCTCTCAGTCCAGCACCTCTCAGTCCAGCACCTCTCAGTCCAGCACCTCACATCCACTTATTCCCATCGCCCACTGCATGCTGCACACTATCATTCCCCTCTCCTCCACCACTACCACACTGAACCTCACTGCACCACACTGCACAAAATCACTGTACTGCACACCATGAACACCAGCTGCTCCACCCAGCTCCACCACACAGCACCGCACAGCACCACAAAGAAATGTTGGAAACTCCAAAACGCCCACACTGACCACTAACCAGTTCAGAAGACCCCATGCTCACGTTGCTTGTAACACCCCTTAGCTCCTCCCAACCATGCAGCACTACACACCACCGCACACTACCGAAGACAATCCACAACAAAGGAACTGCTGCTGCAAAGAACATCTAAACATGAAGTCGGCTGCTGCAAAGCGCCAAAACCTTAAAAAGACCTTCCACCACACCTTAGACCAGTCGCGCC